ATTTCTGATGAAGGGTCTAGGCCCGAAACATCAGCCTTCCTGCTCCTGTGGTGCTGCTTGGCCTGCTGTGTTCATCCAGCTCTGCACCTTGTTGTCTCCTTACAAGAGTAGGCAGGTTCTTCTACCACACAGAGCATATAATGAGGTCCGAGTATTAATTTGAGGGGAATTTGATGCACATGGCAGGAAACAAATGCAGTTTATCTCGGTATCCAGAAGCTGGTGAGTGCTTTGAAGACTTTAATTAGGTAAGCAGGTTTGGTGAAATGGGCAGTGGCTTAAAGCAGCACTGAGGGCCCCTAAGCTTACTTAGCTAAATTTTAACATAGATACAATTGAGTTAAGCAATATTTCTAAATATTTTTAAAATCGACCTGCTCGGACATTCTGACCAGAGGTAAGGATGCCACCAGTGCATCACAAGAGCCCCAGCAGGGATATTTTTACACTTGTGACCTGAGAAGTTAAATTAAGCACAATGAAAACATCAGGGCAGCTGATGCTTTGCAGCTGTAGCATCTGAGAGCTGGAGGACAGCATGGCAGTGACATCTGCAGTAAGTGCTATGGATTGTCAAATGTCAACACAGATTCGATGAGCTGGAGTCTGAGCATCAGACACTGCAATGCAGTCAGTTCAGGATAGGGTCATCTATCAGGGGTGGCATAATGGTAATGTCACTGCGCTAGTAATCCAGATCACCAGGTCAATGCTTGATGACATAGATCTGAATCCTATTTCAATGGTGAAATTTTAATTCAGTAAAACATCTGGAATAAAAAGCTGATGCAATGGCGACCAAGCAGCTACCATCAATTGCAGTGAAAGCCCAACTTGTTCACAAATTATGGGAGGAAATCTGCTATCCTTACCCAGGCTGGCCTTCTTGTGATTCAGACACACAGCAATGTGGATGACTCTTAATTGCTCTCAGAGCAATAAAGGAGGGAGAATAAATGCTGGCCCAGTCACTGATGTCGACATCTCAAGGAAGAATTTTTTTAAAAATTGGCCCACACACAGAAGGATGTGCCTGTGAGTTAGGCAGATAAGGCAATTTATAAGGTTAAAAACTGAATAGCCTCAACCCTGTATATTGTCTACCAGGCTCGAGGAGATTGTGTGGGTGAGAGTAGGCAGTGCAGCAGAGTGGACAAGGAAACTGACCACAGTACCATGGTGCAGGGAGCCAGTCAAGTGGGGAGAAAGAAGGAATGTAGTGTACTGTAGTCCTTCACCTTAGCTCATTATCACTTTGATTAACTTCTACTTTAACTCATTTTATTTTCTCCAAGTCAGAGATTCACATGGGGCCCAGCTAAGCTTGACTCTTTGTGGGGTAGATGCATCACTCCTTATTCAGCACCCCCCCAACCATAATTCTTTCTCTGGTATCTTGATGATGTCATCAGCATTGCTTCCTGCTCTCGTCTGGAATTGGAAAAATTAATCACTTTTGCTTCCAATTTCGATCCCTCTCTCCCCTTCACCTGGTCCATCTTTGCTTCTTCCGTTCCCTTCCCTCCTTGACTTCGACTATAACACCATAAGACTATGCAGCAAAATTAGGCCATTCCATTATGGCTAATGTTTCTTAACCCCATTCTCCTGCCCTCTCCCCAGAATCCTTGATCCCCTTACCAATCAAGAACCTATCTTTGTCTTAAATATGCTTAATTACTTGGTCTCCGCAGCCTCCTGTGGCAATGAGTTCCACAGATTCACCACCCTCTGGCTGAAGAAATTCCTCGTTATCTCAGTTCTGAAGGGTAATTCCTTCACCCTGAGGCTGTGCCCTCAGGTCCTAGTCTCTCCTTCTACTGGAAACATCTTCTCCACGTCCACTCTACCCAGGCCTCTCAGTATTCTGCAAGTTTCAATCAGATCCACCTCATCCTTTTAAACTCCTTTGTGTACAGGCCCAGAGTGCTCAACTGCTCCTCATATGATAAGCCCTTCATTCCCAGGATCATTCTTGTAAACCTCCTCTGGATCCACTCCAACGGCAGAACAGCCTTCCTTAGATACAGGGCCCAAACCTGTTCACAATAGTGCAAATACAGTCTGACCAGACCCTTCCTATTCCTTACCTTCCTACACTTGAGATATGTTACAGAAATTCTGTTGTTAATAGATCTCTTATTACATATTAGCACTATTTCTTCCAAGAGCAGTCTTTTTCAACACAATCAATCATCTAGACATATTTTGGATTCATCAGCTGTAAGACAGGGCCATGAAGTATTTCCATATGGAAAGGCCAAATCACCAATCTTACTTCAATCATCTTTGCATCTCATTTCATTCATTAATTCAGCCCAACGTGTCTGCACTGGTTCTATTCCCTAGTGTCAATCTCCTGCTTTTTCCCCCACATCCCTGCCCACCATTTCTATTTCTCAGACTTGCTGAGATTTCCGGGAATTTCTGTTTTCGTTACTGATTTCCAGCATCCGCGGTTCTTTGGGGTTTTTTTTTGTAATTCGAGTGTTACTTTGTATAAAATGGAGATGGTGCAGGAAATCTTTATCCCATCCATTGGCTTCTTTGAAAAGAATTTGGTTCTAAATATTAGCATTTTCTTTTCATACCTGACCTAGAGTTATAGAGGTTACAGCATAGAGAAAGGACCTTTGGCCCACTTAGTATGTACTGGTCAAAAAAAAAAGCACCTAACTATTTTAATTCCTGACCCACTTGAAGATGTAATGTGAAAACAGGAGGTATGGTTAGTAAGTTTGCAGATAACAGCAAAATAGGCAGTGTAGTGGACAGTGAAGATGATTATCTGAGTACAATGGAACTTTGATCTGATGGAATTTAATTTAGGTAAATGTGAGGTATTGCATTTTGGTAAGGCAAACTGGGGCAGGATTTATACACTTAATGGTAGGGCCCTGGGGAGTGTTGCCAAACAAAGAGACCTAGGGGTGCAGGTGCATAGTTGCTTGAAAGTGGAGGCGCAGGTAGACAGGATAGCGAAGGTGGCGTTTGGCATGCTTGCGTCTATTGATTAAAACATTGAGTATAGGAGTTAGGACATCATGTTGGTGAGGCCACTTTTAAGATTACTGCGTACAATTCTGGTCTCCCTTCTGTAGGAAAGATGTTGTTAAACTTGAGGGTATGCAGAAAAGACTTATGAGGATGTTGCCAGAACTGGCAGGTTTGAGTTATTGCAAGAGGCTGAATAGGCTGGGGCTACTTTCCCTGGAGTGTTGGAACCTGAGGGGTGACCTTAAAGAGGTTTATAAAATCATGAGGGGCATGGATAGTGAATCGCCAAGGCCTTTTTCCTAGGGTGGGGGAGACCAAAACTAGATGGCATAAGCTTCAGGTTGGGGATGGGGGGGGATTTTAAAAAGGACCTGAGGGACAACTTTTTCATGCAGATGGTAGATGAATGGAATGAGCTGCCACAGGAACTGGTGGAGACTGATACAATTACAACATTTAAAAGGTGTCTGGATGGGTACATGAATAGGAAGGGTTTAGAGGGACATGGGCCAAATGCTGGCAAATGGGACTAGGTCAGATTGGGATGTGTGGTTGGCGCAGATGAGTAGGACCATACTGTATGACTATGAATTTTTACACCACTTTTGTCCAAATAATCATCTAATGCCCTCTTCGATGCCTCAATTGAATCTAGCTCCACCACATTTTCAGGCAGTGCATTCCCAGATCCTAGCTACTCACCGAGTGGATTTTTTTTTGTCACATCACCCTTACTTCACTTACACATCACTAAGTCTATGCCCTCTCACTCTACGAGCAGGAACAGTTTCTCATTATCTATCCAGTCCATAGTGATTTTGAAATCTTCAATCAAATTTCCTTTCAGCCTTCTCCTCCACAAGAACAGTCCCAGCCGCTTTAACCTATCCTCATGGTTGAAATTTCTCATTCTGGAACCATTCTTGTAAATTACTTTTGCACTCTCCCCACAGCTGTACACAATACTCCAGCTGAGGGCTAACAAGTATCTTGTACAAGTTCAACATCACGTCCTTGTTCTTGTGTTCTGTGCCCCTATTAATAAAATCCAGGCTCCTTTGCTAACTGCTGTCCCAGTTGTGTCACCTTCAACAATCTGTGCATATTTACACAACTGGATGCCTCTGCTCCTGCACCCCCTTTAGAATTGTACTCCCTATTTCACATTGTCTTTCAGTTTTTTTTCTCTGGTAAGGTCCAACACACTCATTCCTTTATGCACCTTTTCCCTCTTGGCCACTTATATAAACTGGCACCTTTTCTAAATGATCAACACCTCCCAGTTCCAATGATTTGCCATAATCTTCTTGGATGTTGGAGCAGGCTCAAAGGGCTGAATGGTCTCTTCAAGACCCGAGCCCTGATGCTCTTATTTTTTCAAGAGCTAAATGCGCAGCTGAATGTGTCTGGCACGTACTGCCCAGGAGCCAGAGGGCAGGAGACACTCACCTGTGCTCCAGTCCCATCCTTTATGCCAGTTACTCTTACACGTGTGATCATCCTGACAGTCCGCCCACCATTCTTCGCAGTCGGTCTTGCAGATTGGGACATACAGAATGCGTTCTTTCCTCCAAGACTGATCAACCTGGAGACAAGCAGCAAAATGAGGAGTCATTCAATAAAAACCAGGGAGTGCCACAGGGAGTGAGGTTGGGGGTCACCATTCCACAAAAGAAAAACAAAAATTCAACAATGGGAAGAGACAGAACATCAGAGTTGGTCCCTGGAAGACTGGGGGACACTGTTTCTGGATAATTCCTGGGATGGCAGGACTGACATATGAAGGAACAGTAAGGATAACATTCATTGATGTTTAGAAGGATGGGGAATCTTATAGAAAACTACAAAATCCGAACAGGATCAGACAGGGTAAATGCAGGAAGGATGTTCCTGATGACCACTGAGTACAGAACTAGGAGTCACAGAATAAAAGATAGAGGGTAGATCATTTAGGACTGAGACGAGGAGAAATGTCTTCACCCGAGAGTGGTGAGCCTGTGAAAGTCTCTGCCTCAGAAAACCACTCAGGCCAAAACATTGAATGCTTTCAAGAAGTAGTTAGATATAGCACTTGAGGCTAAAGGGATTAAAGGGTACAGGGAGAAAGCATGAAGAGGGTACTGAAGAAGGGTCTAGGCCCGAAACGTCAGCTTTCCTGCTCCCCTGATGCTGCTTGGCCTGCTGTGTTCATCCAGCTCTACACCTTGTTATATAAGAGGGTACTGAAGTTGGACGATCAGCTATGATTAGATTGAATGAAGAAGCAGTCTTAAAGGGTTGAATGGCCTACTCGTGCTCCTATTTTCTATGTTTCTATCCTGCAGAAGTGCCTATGCTATTGAAGCCGCCTCAGTTTGTCAAATGCCAGCAAACCTGGGAGCTCTGTCTTTGAGAGCACTGTTGCATTTGAGATTTTGTCCTGCCAAGATATTGTTAGGAAGAAGCTTTATATTTAATGCTGCAAGGAGGAGTGCAGTTTGAAGGATTGTGGAAAATGGAATTTATTTCAAGTTTTGTGGTCATATCTGGAGTGGTTTCCTTAAAATAGGCCACCAAAAGTTCACCAGGAACATTGGCGATTTATGTAACAAGGCTTCCTGGACAGCACGTGACTATTGATAGCTTGCTGTGAAGCCTGGAGGGGCAGTTATTTGAAAAATGACAGACTTGGGGGAAGATCCTAATTTCATTAGAGGAGGAGAGCACCGCTCATTTTTGTCCCATTACTCTACAGGCTACACCACAAAATTAAAATACTTTATCAAGAATTCCCAAGATAATCAACTAAGTTCCTCCTCGATATCAGATTTTAAACAAAAGATCTATCAATCAGGTTTCTTATTAAATGCAACCTTTTGTTTATTATCAAAACAAAACTTATTTAATAAAGATGCAATAATTGGTTAACATACACTGTCAGCATAAAACATCACTTTGGCTACAGGCTTACGGGGATAAGGTGGGTAAAAGGTACTCAAGTGTTTGATCAGTCACAATTGTATTGAATGGTATGGCAGGTTTGATGGACTGAATGGTATACTCAAGTTCCTGTGTTCAACAGATTATTCTTGAAGGCAAAAAGATTTAATGCTTTCGAGTCTCTTGCTGTGATGCTCTGGCATATGTGGTCAATTCACTAATCATTTTGAAGTCTTGGCAGATACAGTTAGCTCAGGAAGTACAATCTTGAGATGTTCCTTCCAGCATTCTTTCAAATTAACAAACAGATGTCACTCTTAGCTGAGGGAGAGGGTTTTCTTTTCAGAAATAGGAAGGATCAGTGAGGCAGTTTGTTCAATGTAAGCTTTCCTTAACTCAGTTTGTTCTTAGACTTTTCTCCAACTGAGCCAGTGTTATTAAACTGGAGAGGGGTCAGAAGAGATTTACCAGGATGTTGCAGGTATGGAAGGTTTTAGTTATAAAGAAAAACTGGATAGGCTGGGACTTACTTCACTGGCGTATGGGTGGTTGAGAGGCGAATGGCAGGTGTCTTTTCCCTAGGATGGGGGATTTCAAGGCAAGGGGGCATATTTTTAAGGTGCGTGGAGAGAGATTTAAAACAGACATGAGGCAAATATGTTACAGAGGGTGGTTTGCGTGCGGAGTGAACTTCCTGAGGTAGTGGTGGATGTAGCCATAGTTACAGCGTTTAAAAGACACTGCGGTAAGTACAAGAATAGGAAAGGTTTACAGGGATATGGACCAGGAGCAGGCAGGTGAGACTAGTTTAGTTTGGGATTATGATTGGCATGGACTGGTTGGACCGAAGGGTCGGTTTCTGTGCTGTATGACTCTATGAACAACCCCTCCAGGCTTGAAAGCAAGCTATCAATAGTCATGTGATTTCCAGGAAGACTACTTACATAAATCACCCATGTTCTTGGTAAACTTTTGACAGCCTATTTTAAAGAAATCACTCAGTTGTAACTATATCCACCAAACAAGGTGTAGATTGCAAAGATGGAAACTGTTGAGTTTCTTAAATTACCCATCCTTCACAGTCATACAAGGTGTTGAGAAAATAGGCCTTATGAACGAACAACTTGACTCTAAGGGTCAACTTGATGTTATTTCGTGTGTGTTTCCCAAGTCCATCCTTGGTAGCAGCTGTTTTCCCTACACATATCAGATTCTGCACCAAGGGACAGATGGGCAGTCACTGTAAACCTCAGATAGCGGAGCTTGCTGGCCACGATCAGGGGAGATGACATCCTGTCTCCTGGCCATAGTTTTCATAAATCATATCACAGAAGACAAGACACAGACACAGGAAAGACAGTCCATGTGTGTTTATGTATTATAATCTCTCAAACATGTGGTAATGGCCACACAGTCCAAAGGTCAATGTGTTGGTATTCCAGTAAACTGCCTTAGTCAACATTCTTAGATAACTTGCATGTTCCTGAAAATTAGCTCTTTGTAACCCGATCTTGACCGAGATAAAATCCTTTATCCATTTCCTTTTATTTGTATGGACCAAAGCAGCAATTCTATTTATGGAACAGATAATTCCCAAGTGTTGCTTAATCAGCAACACTGAATTCTATCCAACCAGAAGAGAGGGTCTTAAGGAGGCTTCAGGGGTCACTGCAGAGAAATGCAAAGCTTCCAAGCAGTGAGTGGGACAAGGAGAAAGAGACAGACAGAGATTTAGACTCCAAGTTTAACATGCTTTTGTTACAGCCACTTCTGGGAAGGCAACTAATCGACACAGATTGTGCGTGAAGGACTCCATGAGGAGTTGGACGACTCTGTGCTGTTAGGATTCAGGGAGAGACGCTAGGAGTGAGTAGGCAGCTAAGTATTGGAGTTGTGGGGGGCGCGGGTGGGGAGGCCACTGGGTCTACACTGGGCTATGCTATGAGGGGCTCAGAGGAAGACTGAGCAACTGAGCAAGATTGACTCAAAACTCTGGGCAAAGCCCAGGGACAGGACTGGTTTGGTGAGACCAGCTGTCAACGGAGTGCTGGAGTTACACTTATGAAGGAGCAGTTTCATAGATCAGGGGAGTGTACACCGCAGGTAAAGAAGGTAACTGACCAGAATGGAAGCAGAAATCAAAACAATGCATGACAAAACATCTCTTTGGGAAGGAGCTACAAGGCCAGATCAGGAGACATGAACAACTAGAATCCCTTTTTGAGTTTAAGTTCTGAGGAAGGGTCACCGGACCCGAAACGTTAACTCTGTTTTTTCCTTCACAGAGGCTGCCAGACCTGCTGAGCTTTTCCAGCAACTTCTGTTTTTGACCCATATCTATCAGATGTATTATGGGAAAAAGAAATAAATTCTATATGTAGAAAGTTGTATAATTGTTCCAACGTCATGAAATTTAGTACTACATCTTCAACACACTTTGTAAAACCCTGGGCCTCTCAGTGTATCTACTGTAAAAATCAAAATGTTATCAGTTTCCAGCCTAACCATTACATAAATTTTGGCGCTGGCACTCTGGTCAGAATAGAATCCCAGAATCCTCAGTGCAGGGGGCAGCCATTTGGGCCATAAAGTCTGCACCGACTTTATACTCCAAACAGCATCCCACCCCATCCCTGTAACCCTAAGTTTCTCAAGGGCTAATCCACCCAGCCTGCACATCCCTGGACACTACAGGTAAACTTTGCATGGCCAATCCACCTAACCAGCACATGTTTGGACTATGGGAGGAAACCGGAGCACCTGGAGGAAACCCACACAGACATACTTGTCACCAATACCTTTTGGAGATTTGATAAAATCTCATGTGAATTTTCTTGTAGCACATTGAGAGGTTGCAAACCAAATAAATATAATAATTTGAAAAGAACAGACTAAACTACAAAAGAGCCAACCTCAAATTTTAATTTGTTGCAATACCTGAGATGATTATTAATACAATCTTAGGTTCAAAGGAAGCATTGTAGGAACATAGACCATGAGGAGAATTCACAAACTCCACACAGACAGTTGCTTGAGGGTGGAATCGAACTTGGGTCCCCGGCATTGTGAGGTAGCAGTGCTAACCACTGTGCCGCCCATTGTAACTGAATTATAACTACGGGCTTGTAGCTAAATTTTTTCTGTGTACTGTCACACGTCGTTTTGTCCCCTTGAAGAGTAGTGGGGAGTGCTGAACAGGATGCCTGGCTGATTATCCAGGTCATGGACAAACATTCATTGGCCAAAAGGTCCTGGATTGGGACTTCAATCCAGAGCTTCTGGCCCAGATGTTGAGACACTACCCAGTGCACCACAAGAGCCCCTATGTGGAATATCAGTAACAACAAGTTCAAACAGGTGGAAGCCACAAATCATCAATATTCATCTGGGAACAATTCAAAGTAGATAACTTTTGACATAAGGCTAAACATTCAGTCCCCAAACAAACACTCCCAGGATAGGGACAGTATGGAGTTAGATACAGAGTAAAGCTCCGTTACACTGTCCCCCCGCAATCAAACACTCCCAGGGACAGCACAACTTCATGAAGCTCCCTTCACAAAACTCATTTATTTAACTTCTGAACAGTTGCAAAACGCATCTCAGCAAAGGACAATGCTGCTCACCGTCACTATCCAGGGACCCAAGTTGGGGGAGCATTCATACAAGCAGGTGTCCTGGATAAAGTGCCTCTTGCATTTTTCTGTCATGATGCCACAGTGATTCCAGTTGAAGTTGTAAAGATGGGACTGGTCATTGTGCGCCTCTACGGTGGTGTTGGCTCTACAACAAGCATTATTCTTCCAAGGTTCACACTGCAAATGTTAAAGAGAAGGAAGCATTAACAATAGGGATACACCATGTACATGTCACCAAGGTATAACCAAAAATGTAAAAGATCCCACAGCCACTAATTTGAAGAACGGAGGAGTTTTTTTAGATTCCTCTTTGGAGAACTCGGTGGCACTGGCAAGGCCAGCATCTGTTGACCTTCCCTAAATGATCCTTGAACTGAATGGCTTGCTGAGGCCATTTCAAGGGGGCGTTAAGAGCAACTTAACTTGCTTGGATCTTGAGACACATGTAGGTCAGACTAGGCATGAACTGCAGATTTCCTTCCATAAAGCCCCATATAACACTCTTCGAAGGATTGACAGGTTAGGTGCTGAAAGACCACATACCCCTGGCTGGAGGGCTTAGAATACAAGGTCACAGTCTCAGAGTAAAGGGCTCCCCTAACTGCTTTGTGCGGAGGAGGAATCCTTTCACTCAGATGGTGGAGAATCTTTGGAATTCTCTAGCCCAGAGAGCTCAGACATGGAGTACATCCAAAGCAATTACAGGACCAGTGCGGGGGCATTATAACGGCACCACTGTCTCCCATTAATTGGCAGATACCAGGAGAAGGGACTTAAACCAAATGAATCCTGTGGAGTTTTATTCAGCAAGTTACCTCCACACAAGGTAGCAGCTTCTGGGAAACTGAGGACCAACAACATGCAAGAGAAATATCGGTTGAAACATGTTGCAAAAAAAAACAAGATAATTCAGGAATAACTTCAAAAAAGCACAGAGCTCCTGAACAGCAGTCCTCTGTCTGGTTTAATATTAACCCACTGTTCCCAGAATCAAAGGATCAAGCAAACTCAAGGTCAGTCCAATCTGCAGACCGAACCTGATCTTGACACTGTTATTACCCATCAGATTGCAAAAGCTGAAGACAGTAAATCAGCTTCACTGCCATATAAACAAAATACGCTGATGCCAGTATTTCCCTTATCAGCTCATTAAACCACGTAAACAGAAAAACAAAGGGGCCAAGTGCAGATTAAAATGAGAGGAGAGATAGGGAATGAGCAATAGGAAAGGTGTTGAATAAATACGTTGTGCCGATAACGGATGTGGGTGGTTGGTAGGTATGCAGAGGGCTGGGATGAGGTGGGGGGGGAAGCATTCCTGGTGAGGGAATGCGGAAAGGGAGGGGACTGGATAGGAGTGTGAAACTGACAGACGTATTCATTCCGTATTTGGGTTCACCTGGTACTGGCTCCAGCAACAAGTAAACTGCAACAATGCCCTACAAGAGTCAAAGCCTTGAGGGAGGGAGCGGGACCAGTGTTGCCCAGTACAAGACAGTCACTGACAACTCCAACTGGAGGATTCAGGGAAAGGCTCTTTACCCAGAAAGCGGTGAGAGTGTGGAACTCATTCCCATAGGGATGGTGTTGAGGCAAATATCCGAGATATATTTACGTGGGAAGCTGGAGAAACATAAGAGGAAGGAAGGAATATTTTGATGCAGATGGGTGGGGGAGGTAGCTCCATTGTTCTACAATCATCACCACTGTGGCCAACTTTCAATCCCAGATTTATTCTGTCATGAAGGGATTTGAACCCGTGCACCCATTACTTGTCCAAGAATGTGACACTTTGAATAAAAATAATCAGAGGATGTGGGCATCGCTGGCCGGCCCAGCATTTATTGCCCATCCTAGTTGCCCTTCACGATGGACTGCTCAAGAAGGCAGCTGACCATGTGCTGTGGGTTGACCCACAACTCAGGGAATACAAGGATTTTGACTCGGTGACAGTGAAGGAACGGCGATGTATTTCCAGGTGAGGGTGGTGAGTGGATTGGAGGGGAACTTACAGGAGGTCGTGTTTCCATGTATCTGCCTTTGTCCTTCTAGATGGAAGTGGTCGTGGGTTTGAAATATGCTGTTGGAGGAGCCTTGGTGAATTTCTGCAGTGCATCTTGTAGATGGTACACGCTACTGCTACTGAGCATTGGTGTTTGAGGGGCTCAATAATTGCTGTTGAGGGAGGCGAGATTGAAGAACAGACAGCGAGGCCTCACATGCCTACAATGCCACTCTTTGAAACCAGTGACTGTCTCATCAGCATCTGTCTTGCTAAACCTCAAACATTTGTGGGGTGTGAAAGCAGATGTCTCATCTGTCCTCACACTTTGCTGTTACCTGTTTGTAGAGACTTCCCTCCGATCCCGGCTTATCCTTGTGATGTTTTGCATTCATGCAGATATTAAGGATATCCTCAGCAGTTGTCGCTGATAGAGTGAGCCCCAGAACAAACACAGACAGCATCTTCCTGCAAAGACGTAGAGCATGAGTAAGAGAAGCAAAAGAAAAAGAACAAAGAATAATACGGCACAAGAACAACAAAATACTGTGGAAGCTAGAAATCTGAAAACCAGACAACATACCAGGTAACACTCAGCTGGTCAGGCAGTCGTGCTGACTTGTATTTACATAGTACTTGTGACATAATGAGGGGAGGTAGTGGCATAACAGTTAGGTCTTTGAATTATCCCTTTTCAACTTCCTTATGTTCTCCTGACTTACCTTTCTCTCTATCTTTGTCACCAAGAGTGGTGACGTAGAGTAGGGACAATATTCGTACAAAAGTGAGAGAAGACCCGAGTGTTAAAAGTCAAAATGTAGAATTGGCTCATGTAGGGATAAGAACTAGCAAAGAAAGGTCTGCTGTAGGTTAGTAGAAAGTGCACCTTTGAACAGTAACCACACTGTAAAATGGAAACTACAGGAAGAAATAATGGGGACTGCAATTGTCATAGTTTATTCTAATCTTCATTTAGATTGGACCAAACAGAAAAGCAAAGATAGCCTGGAAAGAAAGACTCTATGGGAAGAATGAACCATCATGTACATGCCGAAGAAAGTTAAAGATAATAATCAACTAAAAGAAAATATGCATCACTCTGTAAAAATGGGTGGTTTTTTGTGAAGACGAGTGGCAGGTCAAAAGATTGTATAGAATTTAAGAGCAAAGAATGACCAAAAGATTAATAAGGAGGGAGAAATTAGATTATGAAAGAAAGCTAGATAGAAATATAAAAAGTCAGTAAAAGATTCTTGGGGTATTTAAAAAGGAAAACAGTAAATGAGCCTTGGTTCTTGAGAGAACAAGCCTGGGAAATTAAGGAGTTGACAGATGAATTTTTCTTCTTTCATCCATCCGTTTTGGTTCACCCATCCTCAGGATCTGAAAGTGCATGCGGAGAGGATTTTTCCTCTTATGGGAGAATCTAGAAATAGGAATTTAAAAAGGTGTTCTTGAGAAAGATATTCTCTTAATCTTTGTCTTAAATGGCAATCTAATTTTTTTTAATTCATGGGACATGGCATTTCTGGCTAGGCCAACATTTATTGCCTTTCTTAGTTCCTCAGAGGGCAATTAAGATTCAACCACATTGCTGTGTGTCTGGAGTCACACGTAAGCTGGACCAAATAAGGACATTCCCTGAAGAGCATTCATGAATCAGATGGGTTTTTACCAAAATTGACTGTGGTTAGATGGTAACTACAAGTGTGGCTTTTATTTTTAAATTCCAGATTTTTACTGAATTCAAATTTCACCATCTGCTTTGATGGGATTTTAACCCATATCCTGAGAACATTAGCCTCAGGTATGGGATTGATCGGCAAATGTTCTCTGAACTGCAATCCATTTACATCCTTCCTTAAAATAGTGTTTGATACTGTACATGGTACTCCAGATGTGGTCTCACCATTTTGTTATTGTTTTAGTAGAGGCAGAAAATGTCATAAGTAGTACTGCTATACTGAAATATCAAAACCTACCAGTCTAAAAACTCAGCATTGGACAGTAGATTTAGCCTGAATGGCTTCAGGCTGTGACACGAATACGTACTATAATCTACCTTGATACCACTAGATGCTGATAAGTCTTTTGTATAATTCTGCTGATTCATGGTTTGATTTGTTCCTTTGTACATTAGTAAATAGAAACACAGTGAAATTATAAAGTTAAAATCGCCTGCCTATCGGTTTGTCGCCTCAAAGTTCGTCTGTTCAGCAAACGACCTTGGGCAGAAGAAAGTCTTTGAGTTTCAGCCAACTCTGTTCCAATATTTCTTTGTAAGTAATGAGTCAGAAGTCAACAAGAAACTTAGGGCTCTCTCTCCTGGAAGTTTAGGAATTGAGGTTTTTCGCTGCTCATCAAGGTGACATATCATTGCTGGAAAAACAATTTCAACTTTAAGGAAGCAGTATTATGCACAGCATGATGTTAGATAGACAGCCCCCTCCTCACTGTCCTCATCACACTTTACCAGGATAGTGACGACGTGGGGTTAGATTCAGAGTAAAGCTCCCTTTGCACTGTCCCTAAACATTCCCAGGACAGGGCCAGCACAGTGTCAGATATAGAGTAAAGTGTCCTCTACAAAACCTTTTGACATTTCACAGAGCAAAGGCAGGACAGAAGGTTTTGAACCAAGTTCCTGTTTCAAGCAGCCGTGAACAAGTATTCCTATCACTGAGCTCTATAATACTGTGCCTCAGTGTGTTCAGATACTAACCTCTCTCCCCAGTATCAACATTTGTTGAAAGCTTATCTCAACACAAGATCTATTCCAACCACTCAACTTCCACTTGAGTTACAAAGTGCAAAAGCCATTGAACTTCCCTTCAATTTAACCTACAGTTAATTAATTCAAAATCTCAGCATCCTCCAAAACCTGGAATAAACAGACTACATTCCCCCTTATGTAGACTGAGCACTAACAAATTATTTTAAATCCATAACACTCTCCTCCTTTAACAACAGTCACTTATAGGGGACAGATATTATAGCTGCTTCACTGGAATATCATCAAAAAAAAGACTCCAAAAAAGACCAATGTGTCAAAATGATCACAGTTTGTCAGAAAACAAACTGACTGAATTGAATATTACAGAAGAGGTGGTGCTGGACAACTTAAAGCACATAAGAGCGGATAAACCCTGGGACCTGATCACTTTGAACTTTGTGGGAAGCCAAGAAAAAGTGATTGCTGGATCCTTTGCTGAGATATTTGTATCATCAATAGTCACAGGTGAGGTGCTGGAAGACTGGAGGTTGGCTAATGTGGTGCCACTATTTAAGAAAGGTGGTAAGGAAAAGCCAGGGAACTATAGATATGTGAACCTGATATCAGCGGTGGGCAAGTTGTTGGAGGGGATCCTACGGCACAGGATTTACATGTAGTTGGAAAGGCAAGGACTGATTACGAATAGTCAACATGGCTTTGTGCGTGGGAAATCAAGTCTCACCAACTTGATTGAGTTTTTTTGAAGAAGTAGTGAAGAAGTAGTGATGAAGGCAGAGTGCAGGACATGATTTATAAGGACTTCAGTAGGACATGCGACAAGGTTCCATGTGGTAGACTGGTTAATAAGGTTAGATTGCATGGAATACAGGGAGAACTAGCCATCTGGATTCAGAACTGGCTCAAAAGTAGGAGGCAGAGGGTGGTGGTGGAGGGTTGCTTTTTAGACTGGAGGTCTGTGACCAGTGGTGTGCCACATTGATCGCTGCTGGTCCACTGTTCTTTGTCATTTATATAAATGATTTGGGTGTGAACCTAGGAGTAATGGTCAGCAAGTTTGCAGATGACACCAAAATTAGTGGTGTAATGGACAGTGAAGAAGATTACCTCAGAGTACAAGAGGACCCTGATCAGATGGACCAGTGGGCCGAGGACTGGCAAATGGAGTTAAATTTAGATAAATGTAAGGTACTGCATTTTGGAAAGGCAATTCAGGGCAGGACTTAGACACGTAATGCTAAGATCCTGTGGTGTGTTGCTGAACAAAGAGGCCTTAGAGTGGAGGTTCATAGTTCCTTGAAAGAAGGGTCGCAGGTAGAAAGGACAGTGAAGAAGTCATTTGGTACACTTGCCTTGATTGGTCAGTGCATTGTGTAAAGGAGTTGTGAGGTCATGTTGCAGCTGTACAGGACACTGGTTAGGCCACTTTTGGAAAACTGTGTTCAATTCTGGTCTCCCTGCAACAGGGAGGACATTCTGAATCTTCAGAGGGTTCAGAAAAGATTTATTATTATCTCTCTAAGATAATAACCATATTCTAATTCAGACGAATCTCTTTGGCATCTAATTTCAATCACTTCCCCAGCAGCCATGTCTTCAATTGTCTAGAGTGTTTACAGCACAGGAAGCACCCCTTCTGCCCATTGTATTCATGCAGCCCATCTGCAGGAGTAATGCAGTTCTCTCCTTTCTCCATCATCCTGGTGAACCAGCTTGAACTCCTGCGCACTCCCCACCCAATACATCTGAACGTCACCCCCATTCCAGCAACTGCTTTCACTGCACCCCACAATATTGATGAGCTTGAGTCCAGGCTGATATCCTACAATCTCATAGGGCTACAACAGCACGGGGAAAGAGGGGAGGCGGGGGAAAGCGAGCGACCAACAGATCACACCAGATCAGTGATCATGTCTGATCAGAGACCAGATGGGAAAGAGTGGGGTCAGGTGGGAAGGGAATGAGGAAGACTGAGAGCGGAGGCCAAACAAAGGCCATGAGGTCTAACAGTGAAAAAGCAGATGAGGAAAAGGGACCAACTGAGAGGAAACAGGGAGAAAGTCGGGAAGGAAAAATGTCTGAGAGACAGATGATGCAATACAAGTGGAAATTCCAGACCAGAAGCTAACTGACAAGTGCTTCCAACCTAACAACCTCAGTGTGCCTGCCACTCCTTAGATGCAGAGATCAGATGGATAATTTAACTGTACTGATTAGGTTGTCAATCACAATGACAAACCCTGGAAAGTGAATTCCCACAGGGCACAGCAAACAATGAGAAAGGCAACTAACACATTGCCCTTTGCTGCAAGCGGCTTGGAGAACAAAAGTAATTAAGCTTTGCTCCAACCACATTGGAGAAAGTATACTGTACACAGTTTCTCCATATTTAAAGGAAAGATATGCTTGCGTAGGAGGTGGGCAGGTAATGGCCTAGCAGTATTATGACTAGACTATTAACCCAAAACCATAGTAATGTTCTGGGTACCCAGGTTGGAACTTGAATTCAAATAAAAGATGTGGAATTGACAGTCTAATGATGACCAGGGAACCATTATCAATCATCAGGAACACCCACCTGGTTCGCTAATGTCCTTTAGTGAAGAAAATCTGCCACTTCTACCCTGTCTAATCTACATTTCACAGAGCAAAGGCAGGACAGTTGCTCTGTAAGAAAGTAAAGAGAGAGAGAGTGAGTGAGTGAGTGAGTGGGGTGGGGGGGTGAGTGGGAAGCAGGAAGAGCAACACACTATT